TACGATCGAAATGATTGTCTACAGCAAAACAAGAAAAAATCAATGTTACGGTCGCATTGATGGAGGGGGATTAAAACACAATTCTCCCCCAAAATTAAAAATTTACATTATTTTGAATATTCATCATCGCGTAAGGGGATTAAAACACAATTCTCCCCCAAAATTAAAAATTTACATTATTTTGAATATTCATCATCGCGTAAGGGGATTAAAACACAATTCTCCAAAAAAAATTAAAAATTTATATTATTTTGAATATCCATCATCGCGTAATAAACGCATTCACTAAACTCATCCACTCCAATATCCTGCGAGGATGTTTCACTTTGTTAATGATGTTATCCTTTTAAAAAGAATCTTTCTATTTCTAATCAAACCCTTGCATTCTGTGCCGTTGTAGTATTGTACCATTTCATTCAATAAAATGGCTGCTTGGTTTGGTGTGAAATTAAAATCTGTCATTCCTACTTATTATTGAATTGAATCGCCATTTTGTAAATTGTTCGGATCGAATTAACGATCAATGACTAACAATTTCAGTTCTTTACTTGCACTTTTATGGAGCGCAGGGGGGGGGGGAGAAAGGCATGCAAACGATTTTTGATATTCCTTTCGATATGAGCTCGCGTTGTCCTTGGAGTAAAACTTGTATCGTCGTGACGATTGCTTCGTTAAAACTTTGAAGAAGCACGAGTCTAGCAATGATGAATTATCGATGTAAAGTAAAATCCTACACGAACAAGTACGTGTTATAACAGACTTAAACAAGATCTCAAAGTAAACCATAAAACGCAAACACAATGTAATTTGGATTTCCCCCCCCCAAAAAAAGTAAAAGGAAAAATATTCTGTCAAAAATACAAGTATGTAGCATACATAAATGCTGACTATTAGTCATGAGTGGGATACTGATCGTCTAGGCTATTTGGATTGCCACATTTTCATTACTTATATTATCGTCAGCGTAACGCATTAATTCCTGAAAAAGGTGTATCTACATATTGCTGTTTAACTATTGTCTACTAGTATTCATTCCATCAATTCATATAGATTGCTTAAATGATATACTGTAGGATAAAAAAAAGGCCTGGTAGATTTCCCCCTGGATTTATTCTCTAGTCCGAGAAAGTATGATATGATAAAATCAATAGTAACATTTCACTTTTCCATCTCCAAATGAAGTGCAAGTACAACGGTCATTTTTGGGTAGTCTTAATTTTTAGATCTTTTGATTAAATTATTTATTCTTTATGTACGGTTTTGTTAACAATGTTCAACGTGACTATGCTATTTTATCATTATGATACAAAAGGCCCTCGGTTAGTTTTGTGGTAACTAAAATAGCTGTCCTAGTCCTTTTGGTATATGCTGCTAGTTACACGGTTATTTATTATTTTATTTTTTAATTTTTTTTCTCTCACTCTCTTCATTCAATCTCTCCAATTTCAAATACGTATCAGTATTATTAGAGTAGTTTATTGATAAAAGAGTGAATATTGATCGTTAATAACTCTTTTTTAATAAGAAAAAGAATTGATAGTATGCACGTACACGTTGTGAATCAAGGCAGTCTCTTTTGCCGTTATCATTTGTAGAACACTCAGTAGATTGTGTAGTAATACATTTACAACATAGTTCATTGTCAGTCCTGTTTTGCACAGTACACCGGATAAAATAATGAAAAATCATTTCTTTTGGCTATGGCTTTGCTTGTGCTATTTCTCTGATAGTATTTGCATTGCATTTCCCGATTAATTGACAAAAGGACGATGTTGTTATGTTTACATATTAAATTGGAAATTTAAAGGTGTCGTTAATTGATCTTATAAATGTTCTTATCTCTCTACCTTCATTATTATTTTCAGGATTGTAAGGAAAGAAGTAACTGAAGACGATGCTGTGTTACCAGCTACAAATGATCGAATAGAAGCTTGGGTATGATGTATTTTCTTACTTTTTTCCATTTCCAATAGCTTTACTGTATCACAACAGATTTTATTTTTAGAAGGTAGATAACAATGATATACAATCTGAATGGAATCGATAGTTACTACGCAAAATTGTCTAGTTTTCAATCAATTCCCTTCTTTTCTATTACCTGATGCTAACGAACTCTTAGCAGAACAACTGATTTTCGTTAGTGTTGTATTAATAACTAGTATTTTCCCCGAGTTATAACGAATTAAAACTAGCTAAACTGGACACATAATTGCTATACATTAGTTATGCTCACGAGAACGATGCATTTTATTTTAATATTAAAATTTTACTGGTGCTTGTGCAGTACAAATAATAATGACGTTGACTTCGTCATATCATTTTCAATTAATACTATTTCAAGGTTAGGATACAGAAGTAGGTTATATCTGTTTTAGCTCGATTATGAGTTAGTTTTAGTACAACTATTGCTAATACTATTACTGTTGTATAATTAAGAAGATCCAATTTTTACACATAAATTACCCATAATTTTAATATTAGTACAAAACAGTAATCATAAGTTATAATTGTTAAAGATTGCCAACTGCTTGCACTACTTTAATATTAACTACATTAAAAGCAACGTTAACACGCATACAAAAATATTTCTATTCCTTTGTATTGATTCAACCATTACGAACAATAACTCTAATGGATTATTATTAATCATTGTTCTGCAAACTTTATTTAGTAGTTAAAAAAAATTTTTAACGATATTGATATTATTATTTTTAACTAGGTATCAACTGATGCCAATGGTGAGACTTCTTCCACTGTTTCCAACAGTAAATCTGTTGCTAATTCTATAGCTTCCAATATGGAAAATAGAAGCAATACCAGTAATGGTCGTAAAAATGACAGCATTAGTAATCAAACGCAGCAGCGTCCAACACCATCTTCAACAAATCGTGCAGCTGCTAACGAATCCACTAGGTAAACCAAAATATTTGATTACTTAACTGTAAGCATGATACTTGAAAAGAAATAGATAGATTTTATATCATACCACCAGTCGATATTGATGTTATTGTAAGTGTAATATAAATGATCAAAGTATTGGTAGGAATTTTTATTACTTTCCCCACCAATATTAAACAGGACTTGCAATAACAATGACAAACTATAAATTTCAGGATAATTGTAATGATAATTTATAATTTTCTTCGCTTGTCATAGCAACTGTGGTCTGTTTATTACACGAACTGAATTAAACTCTAGCATCTTTATCTTAATTTATTATTAATTAACGACTTCATGTTGATTGATTTGACATTAGATTACGGTAATAATAACGCTTATGAACTTTTCCTTTTTTTTCTTTTGAAGGGAATTTGAGTCAGGCTCTTCCGCTAGCTCAAGGCGACTAGGTATATTATCGTAAAATTTCTATATATCATTTGCTACGTAATCTCAAATTAGATTGATCTTGCGTGACATCAGCTAATTTTAAGCAATACCATTATACTTCTTAATTTAAAATAGTAAATATTTCTTAGTATTCATAGTTGATTTTAAATACAAATCTTTTATACTTTAAGTGATTTTTGTTGTTTTTTTCTTTTGAAATTTCATGAACAATTCTGTATAAGAACTACTTATTCATTACAAACTGATTAATTGTATTTCAATTCTTTTACTAGGGCCAAGTGTTCGCAGCCATTTTTCTGATCGTAACAGAAATAAATATGGTAAATAAGTTTAAAATAATGAAGTTTATTGAGATGAAAGCTCACACAAAATGTCGATATAGTGACCTAGTTGAAGCTCTATTCGTTCCCTCACATCAAAGTTGAAAAGATCACTTCACCTTATATTGAATACAATAGAATATCCTTAGATATAGTTATAGTACTGGATAGTGACAATACAGTACTATTCTGTAGTAATGTAAAATTAAATAAGCGTAAGAGAAAATTAGATTCCCTATAAAATACACATACTACAGGCTTCGTAGCAACTCTTAATAAAGATTTATCTTGTTTGAGTCCATTATTGGGCCAATTTTACCGAATTCATTCTGATCCATCTTCATTGCAATATTTTGCTACTTTTAGATTCGACAGATAGAGGCCGTTACCTTTCACCAAAATATCGTGACCATCAATATACAGATGACGGAACTTCTTTCTTTAGCAGCGAAATGGATACAACTAGTTATAGTCATTATGAATCGGAAGGGTAAGGATTTTTTACTAAAATTAGCTGGCTATACAATAATCTTGACAGAAATGAGTTTAGAAGGATATGTTACTAATATACTTATGCATAGATGGTTCACAATTTCTAATACTACAATACTTCAAGTTGTTTATGTTCTGCTTTTTATTGGCTCTTAATATAGCACCTTATATGCTAACTTTCAAATTTTTGGTGATAAAAATAACTATAAGGATTATGCATATTTCTTATTAATGTCGAGCAATCGTAATATCTATTTTTATGTGTGCGCCAATCTCCTTATCAAAATTATTGTGGTATAGAATTAAGTTGTCGTTGCTAATATTGCTACGTACCTTTTGGACTATCGAAAAACGTCTCGTTTTTGAAGTTACTAATACGGTTTGTTGTTATTCTTTTGTTCTAGCTTTACTACTGGAACCGAAGAAAGTTCATTCTATCCTAGGAGAAAGCTCCCACCAAAGAGAAAGCCATTTCAACCCAGTTTAAGCTATAGTTGGGTAAGTGATTATATAGTTTTGATTATTTAATGGTCTACTGAAGAGCATAACGTTAATAAATTATTGCACTTATTTGTTACGGGTTACCTTTCTTTATGGATCAGGTTAAAAAACTAACGGTACTATTTTAGATGGAACGAGTAATAGAAATTATTGTAAATCTTTTTCTTTAGGCTGATTCTTATAGTAGCATTACGGAATCTACATTGTCTACGGAAGTAATTACTGTTGAATTAAATTTAGGTATGATATAATCTAAGTAGCTGAGGCTCAGCTATAAACAATTAAAATATGAGCATCATAAAAGTGATTCTGAGTCATCTAGCTTAAGTGTTGATCTTGACTTACATTTTATTTGCAGAAACTATCAATTTTCTTGGAATTAGTATAGTTGGTACTGGTAGTGCAAGCGGTGATCATGGCATATATGTTGGCTCAATTATGAAAAAGTAAGCAATGAAATATAGCAGATATTAAATGTCGCCAAAAATGAAGACTTATATTCATGCTCATCTTTTCAATAATTTTATTCACTTATTCAGCGGGGCTGTCGCGTCAGATGGTAGAATTGAACCAGGCGATTTAATTCTTCAAGTAAGCCTTTATATTTAATTTAAACTAAAGGGAATTAAACGAAAAGGTTAACCTGAAATTCATTTAATTAAGGTTAATGATGTCAGCTTTGACCAAATGAATAACGAACAAGCTGTACAAGCCCTTCGTGATGTTGTTAAAAGAGAAAAGTAATTGCATTTCAATTTCAGCTATACCATTGGTTAACGGTACATATATGTCTATCATAATTATCTAATCGTTTTATATGGTTTATCTTTAGAAATATTAAATTGATTGTGGCTAAAGTATGGAGTGCTCAAGAAACCTCAAATTTCCAACCGCCATCAGGTTGTAATGAGATCTTAAGACGCGAATACAAATATTGTTAATAAATAACAGTACAGTATGGCTTATATAGAGTGGCTTACATAATATTAATTGCGATCATTCAATTATAAACCATTTAGGAGAGCCAATTCGACCAATAGATCCCTCTGAATGGGTTAAGCAAACAAATGCTTTAATTGGTAAAAAACAAATAAATTCCAGCAACGACTTCGTCTTAAAATATGTTGGTGTTATTTATGAATTATAAGTGAATTTCAATTTGTGTTATAAACGTAGGAATAGATGTGCCACCATCATCAATCTCACCCCCTGCTACTTCTGGCTTAAGTACATTAACCTCAAATGCAACTAGTTCGGCCGAAGTTACAACAGTCGTAGGATCTGATCGTAAGTTTAGATGTAAACAAGTGATCGTTTTGTGATGTTATAGTACGCTAAGTCTTAAACGATTTAATGTATGCATTGTGCGTACTATCAAATAGAGTCGACTATCCAGGAAAATGAACCAAATTTGACAACTAATAGTGAACCAGGATTAATAATAAGGTCTATGATGGCTGAAAACTCTGGCCTAGATATACGTGATAGAACATGGCTAAAAATAACAGTACCTCAATCATTTCTAGGTACGGTACATGTATAAAATATAACTTTGTTGTTGTATGAATTAGAATGGGCCTTATTTAAAATCTACTCCTGTATATTCCTATAGGTGTCGATCTTGTAGATTGGTTATATACTAATGTTGAAGGATTTACTGATCGTCATCAAGTCAAAAAATTTGCTGATAATATGTTAAAGGTATGTCGATTATAAATTATTATTGCAATGAGTATGTTAGTAATGTTAACATTTATTTGACAACCGTCTCTAACTGATTTCATTTTGCTGCTATTAACAGAACGGATACATACGTCATACAGTTAAGAAAACTTCTTTTTCTGAACAATGCTGTTATATCTTTGGAGATGCTACTAATTGTAAGCCTATATAAAAATATTTACCGTTTGCCACGTATGAGTAGTATATACTAATTTATTATTTTAATACGGTAATATTCAGTTAATCAGTCCGCTAGAATCACTTCGAGAGATAGTAGTAGCAATAAATCCGGATCAAGTGGACATTCAAATAGGCAACTGAATGGACCCTCTAATGCAAACCAAAGGCAAAAGAAGAACCATGCATCACAAGGCTACGGAAGCTATACTTCGGCAACATCCTATAGTGACACGACATCAATACCTAGTATACCTCATCCTAAGTCTAGTTCTGCAAATAACTTAAAGGGTAGTTCAAAACAAAGTGTTAGCAGTGCTAGTAAATCAAGCAGAGGATCGCACGGTAGTGGCAAGGATGGGCGATGGAAAGCAAGTGGCAAGGAGTCAAGTAATGCCGCACGAGTTGATAAATTCGAAAGTATTTCAGCTACATGTAGCAAGGGTTCTAACAGAGACAGTAGCAAAGGAACCGGAAGATCGTACGGACAACATGCAGACATTTCGAATGATTTTGGCAATAGCAGTTATAAAGGTAAAAGTGGTTCCTCCAATTACAGTTCTCCCAATAGAAGTAGTAAAGACGACTTTGAAATGTCTAGCAAAGGTTCCAGCAATTTATCTAGAAATTATGAATCTAGAGGAAATCATACTGCAGCATTAAAAACCAAACTTGGAAATTCAGTACCTGCTCCTGAGAAAATGAAGCAGTCAGTTTCAAATGCTAGCTTAAATCAAAGTAGGAAAAGTAATGATTCCAACCATTCATCGCCACACGCTAGAAATGGTACCGGTACAAACTCGCTGACGGTAGGAAAGGTTAGGGCGCAATCTAAAGAAACGACATTTTCCGGTTCGACAACCCCTCATCGTCCAAATGGCATTTCTGCTAGTTCTCTAGCCGCACTTGCACAGATGAATCAAGGCGCAGAAATAAAGAATTCATCTTCGTGTAGGAATAGCGTGGATAGCCTTGATAAAACAAGTATCAAATCGAAAGGCAGAAGTTAAACTTTAATACCTGTCAGTTATTGATGAATTTTTTAACGGTTATTACAAAATTTTCATAAAGGTTCTTACTTTGAATATAATACAAGATGATAATCAGCAATATTATCTCATTAATATGTCGCAATTTAAACTATCATTCCTCAGTTAATATCTGTTGAAAGATACGCGTATATGTGGGTTATCAAGAATGCAATTCATGTATTATAATTTTCTATATTCTCAGTAGATTTTTTAAGATACGTAAGTCTATATATTGTTATCATTCTCAATTCTGTTAAATATATTTTACATTTTCATTCCATTTATCATTTTTACTTAATTTACTCTTTTAACTAAAATTTTCAATTTTTTTCGTAGAAATCAAACTGGTTATTCTGTGTGCTTTAAACTCGATATCTTAAGAATATTTATTTCATTGTTTGACGCATAGCGTTACTTAACTAACGTTTTTATACGAATTTTTTGTTCAATAATTTCCTTTTCTACTTAGTTGTCAAAAATTTTTGAGACCTATGCTCGGCATTCCTATCTATGATATGCACAACATTTGATAGGTATGCATAAATTATCATCTTCTTGAAATTGTTCGTCAAAATAAGTAGCAATCACACTGAAGATGACTGATAACATTTGAAATACATTTGTGTAAAATTTAGAAATATCAGGGAGTAATTCGCTGTAACTATTATCATTAATTAATTGGTGTTATAAAATTCGTTACTTTACGATTTATAACATACGCGTATATATCAATATTAATATCTATATCTATATCTCTATCTATATCTATATCTATATCTATATCTATATCTATCAATATACTGTATATCTATATCTATACACATATAGGACGAGCTGTTTTCATTTCCAATGATATACCAACAAATCGAAAGGGTTAATTGTCGAATTTATTTGATGATGATGTACGTTGGTTTTCAGATATTGTTTATGTTACTCTTTCAATGCCTTTTTAACAAGTCATTGAAAGTTAATTGACACATTATGATTAATATGCCTGTATCAAACGCTTTTTTATTGGTTTTTTGAAATAGTAACTATGATAGCAAGCATCAACTTTATTTTGCAGTTATTTCTATCATTTCATATTATTTAAATTAATGATGTCACTATTTACATAAGAAAAAACGATTGTAGATAGCTACTAAATGCTATTCCATACGACGTTGGGAAGATAAAGGCGATATTCCTAACGTAAGGCGTTTTACTCTTTATGTTATTCCATGTTATGTTTTACTTTCTTAATCCTGGAACTTGGAGGCTATGGCGAAAATATTAAATTTTCATTTGATCTGCTAAATCAATGAATTACCATTAATGCAAATAACAGCCATTGCAGATTGGAAAATAACCATAGATATTTTAATTAATTAATCGTACTTTAATAAAGAATATTAAAATTGTTCTCGACTTGAATCTGGTCTTTATATAAATCATGTTCAACGCGTATACTTGTTCTGCTTATTCTTCATCCAATATGAGCGAGTTGTTTGCGAAAGAGTTCACATTTCTATAGTCATTGTATTTAGTGCATTACTTTCTAATTAGACATACAGGACGACATATGTAGTAGATTGTATTAGACATTATACAATAATTCTACAAAATCGGTTAATACAATGTAATACTTAAGATGCAATAGGTATTTGTATGGGCGACTGTAATAGTCATTTTTGCTGCAATATTTTCTCAAAGACAATACGCATAGATATAACAATTATCCAGTTTCAGTATTGTAAAGTCTATCAAATTCCCTTATTGAAAATTAACCTTATACAGTACTACTGCTGTTAACGTCTGCAGTATTCTTATGCCTGCATAACAAAATATTGCATTCTTACTTAACGATTCTGCCAGAAGTGTGTATTTTTGTCATAACGCGCCTATATAGTAGAATAAACAAGATAGCCGGAAGTAATTGGATAATAAATGATACAATTTTACAATAGGTACCTGCTGCACGTATTGTAAGAGAATAATACTTCAATATTTATCAAATTCTGCAAGTCTCGGTTTAAATGTGTACTTAATTGTAGACTTTTACTATCATGCTTTGAGCATTACCGACTGGCATATTGACAGTCCAAAGTTCAAATGTGTAATGACCATGATTTGTTTATTTTAAGTCTATCTCAAAAATTCTTCTTGTACTGTATATTAATATTTTGACGAAGCTATTAATACTAGATTTCAGATACTTGGAATCTCTGTAATGGGATTAATTATTGTCGAGTCTTTGTGATTTTACGGAGATTCAATTTATTATTATTAGTCTAGCCAGGGACTGGTAAGAAAATTCCAAACCGTTAGGTTACTATTGAATTTAGGGCTTTGGAGCTCGTCTGCTGTATCATATCATGTTTCACGGTATTTGCTCACCGTCAATACCTGGGTAGAGTGATTGTTGATGTCTACTTTGATTGTTACTGGAGTCTGCAATGTTGAAAGGTAAATGATCTTAGTGAATAGTAAATTAATGTTTTAAATTAATTCATCAATTATTAGTAATGTGTTGTTTCGGATGATTGTCAGTTAGCCATAACAGCAAGAGTTTATGAAGGATGAAGGGAAAGAACAGTGATCTTTATCACAGTTGGGTTTTAAGGGAAACCCTGTAATATTACAGCGTAGATAAGCGATATGATCGATCGAGTAGCTAAACTACAGTGGAATAGGTAAAGCGTGAAAGCTTATCGTGCAATCAGTGTAACTAACTAATACGATGAAATGCTTAAGAATTGCTTTCATAACACAGAAAGCACAGCAGGAGAGAATTATAAACGCGAAAGAGCGATAATATATAATAGAAACATAGGATCAACGGTAATATCCGATCTTACAATCTGCATAGATTTTTACAGTGTTTCTTACGCTGTACTTCTAGTATCAATAGATTCGTATCACAAGAGAAAAATTTCAAACCTACCGTATATTTCATGCCTACTGATCTCATGTAATTAAATTGCTCACGGCTATAAGATTAAAGCGCTACTGAGCACTATTCTTGTAGCGCGTGTCTACAATTGATTGTCTTGAGAACAGATATAATCAATGATACAATATACATAATCTAGAAAATGATTTCCTTCATGCCATAGTGCAAATATTGCTTATTGGAATTGTGTAAAATGTCAGTTTCCTACTTCAAGTGCGCTTACTCTTCAGTTAACTTTTATTTCCTCATATTACGGTAGGAATATTACGCGTTGGAATATTAAGAGCACGGCACCGCTTAAATTCCCTGACAGACTGTACACTGTCAGGGACTTCTTAGAAGTCCCATGGGTACTGTACATAAGCTATAAAATGATTTCTTCATGCTATAGTGTAATTGTTACACATAGGAATTGTGTAGGATGCCAATTTTCTACTTCAGATGCACTTACTTTTCAGTTAACTTTTATTACCTCATATTACAGGGCAAATATTACGGGTTGAAATTTTAAGAGCATTGCGCCGTCTAGATCCCCTGACTGTGACTTCTTAGAAGTCTGCATATAGATATGGGATTTAAAATAAGTATTTTTTTTAATCTCTATGGGTACCGTACTGTACTTAAGTTAGGAAATAATTTATTTCCTCTTGCTATAGTGCAAATACTACACATTGGAATTGAGTAGTAAGTAGTAAGATGTCAATTTTCTACTTCAAGGGCGCTTACTTCTCAGTCAACTTTTTATTTCCTCATACAGTATTACAGGGCGGATATGACCGTACACAGTCAGGGACTTTCTAGAAATTCCCGGAGTATTTCTGATATTTCTATGGGTACTGTACATAAGGTAGAAAATGATTTCCTCAAGCTATAGTGCAAACATTAGACATTGGAATTGTGTAGTAAGATGCCAATTTTCTACTTTAAGTGCGCTTACTTCTCTGTCAAGGTTGATTTCCTCATACAGTATTACAGTACGAATATGATCGCTCAGTCTGGGACTTGTTAGAAATTCCATGGGTACTGTGCATGAGCTAGAAAATGATTTTCTCGTGCTATAGTGCAAATATTACACCTTGGAATTACTGTAAGATGCCAATTCTCTACTTCAAGTGACTACAACACTGACAATACACAGTCTGGAGTTCCTGACATAATATACAGTATAAGCAATATCAATACTCGTTCATGACTATATTCTACTGTGCGCTATTTAATAGATGAAAAAACAGACCAGAAGTGTACATTATCCAGTAGACTGTATTAAAAAATCAATTTTAAAGTTAGTCATTTCCCAACTGCTTTACGGCTTGGAGCACATCACTGGCAGCCTTTGTTATGTATGATAGACTGGTAATGTCTAGGAATTAGGGCAAATAAATTGCATAGCTGCCTAACTGATGAGATAACCGTATGATACTAATACCGTAAATGTATTGACACGTTCACTAGTAATTTACCAATACGTATGTAATATATATATATATATGTTATACTGTACAGGATATATCACTTGTGGGAAAGGCAACCCAGAATAAAGAAGTGGACTCTAAGCTTCGGCTACTTTGCAGTGTCTAACCGAGTATTGCGTTATTGACCTAGTGTCGCGATAGAGAACATAACGGCCTTCAGATATAAATTGATGAGGAATCCTATTTACTAACTGTGGGCTATAGCCGCTTGAAATTACTGATCCAACGCCATCTTTTGTCATTTTTTAAAATGGTGTTGTATCAGCATTTGAAACGGCGATAGTTGACTTTTAGTCCATAGAATTCCGTAACAAATTCTATCAGGAGATTGCCACTAACCTAAACGATAAAGCTGTTGGGGAATTTATATATTTTATTTATTTTATTTTAAAACCTAGATTTTTTAGCAGCACAATCTACAGTACGTACAGTACAGTACAACTCGGATAGTGTGCACTGTACACTGTACTTACTGTACTATACACTGTATACAGTACAGTACAGTAAATCATTTATCCTACAGTGTACAGTACTGTGTCGTTTCGGAACATACTGTACAGTACAACAGGTCGAGAAAGATGCCCAAGCAAGACAAAACAAATCATACTGTACATTAAAGAGCAAATGTTGGCTGTTAATTCTTGATCTACAGTATAATAGTCTAACTTTCGACCGTAGGACAAATACTGTAGATGAGTAGACAAGTACGGTGGAGATATTGCCGCAAAACTCGTAGGGTTGCAATTAATTTTCCAATTGATTCGTTTCTAAGGTCGGAATGATAGTATTGCTTTCGTCTAATTTCAACTAAACTCCAATCCAAGTACAATTATGAAGATTATCGTACCGTTTGAAGAGTGCATCAAAGACTCTCCCAAATTTAGGTCTGTATTTTTAAAATGCTTTCAACGGTACTGGTACATCAAAATACCGACAAGGGATAAGTGGGTAGACTCTCATCGCTAAGTAGTTGTTGTATGCTTATGTGGAAAATGCTCTTAAATGATTAATATTCATTTCATCAATGTTCTAATGTATCTTGCGTATAGCCAAGTAGGATTGAAAAAAAACGATTTCTTTTAGTATAGCCTTGATTTGGAGATTGGTCACAGATAGTCTATTGTACGTGTAAAGTACATATGTACTGGTACAGTACTTCAAATCTACAGTAGAGTCGTCAACCATCACTTTTTCATCATTTTGCATCAATTCAATAGCCGTCAACTCTTATTACCATCAATGTGTAAACTAAGTTCTTATACTGGTATCTGGTGACATAAAATAGTTTATTGTAGACAGTCACTGAAGCTTGTAATAATTGAACGTTATGAATGACTAGCCTTTAGGCATGGTAGAATAATAAGGAGTAACTTTGTTACTTACTCTTCCATGTCATAAATAATAACATGATAATTACTTCGCATAACGAAGGAGTCCGTAATATTTCTAGCCCCAATGTATAGCTTGAAAGTAAGTGTTAGGTGAATATCAACTATTGCTACACGTAATACACATGATTCAAGTCCTGGAAAGATAGCGTAATCCATAGTCCATTATCGAAAACTTTTACATATATATATATATGGTATATACTGTATATGCGTATCTCATACTACTGTACAGTATACGAGTGCAAGGCTTGCCGATAAGCGTATCATAAATAGACAGTAGGCCATTATCATCAAGTCAACTACCCTTATTATACTCTTATTTGCTCACGATTGATTAATATATAGTGTGTATCGACTTTACGTGTACATATATATTAGCCCCAGGCAGGATGTATCGAATTCGTTGAAGTATATAACGAGTTCGATGCATTTTGACTGGGGCTAAATTATTCATTCACCACTCATACTCCTGCATAAGCTAATGTTTATTACTGTATGTATTAACGGTAAAATAATCGGTTTGATTACAAATGAATGATAATAACAATGAAGATCCAATTGCACACCCTATTCATGCTTTTTCGTTAATTTACAAGCTATACCTTATACCTTAATAACATGAGCTACGTTAGCACTGAAAGATTGATAATTACTGCAATTATCTAAGAATTATTTCATATTTTAAAATTGAGATAGGTTTATTGCAATACTGCTATACGTACATATATAAACTTATCGTAAATCTTTAATTAGGACATCCTTGCAGAATGTAGAGAAGGACGTTAACAGCTTTGATACTGAAATCGATAAGGTTAATAAAATGTACAAGTTGTGTACTACAAGTTGCATTATTTATCTTTATTATGGAGCTCATCATATTCGTATTATACGTGCGTTCTCTTTGTATGAATATATTTCTATGTAAAAATATCCTTCAGTTAATAAACAATAACTATTATCATTGTAGCATAATCATACTATAGCTGCAGCAGTTACACACTGAATAATACCTGGTATACAGTAGTCTACTCATCTTCTACTCTCTGATGCTATATTTTATTATTAAAATTATTATCTTAATTATTCATATTGCCCAGTTGGCCAAGTTGTATAATGGCTTATCGGATGCCAGTAAAACATGTTCCAATGCCAACAGGTTGGCCATCAAAAATACTATGTAATCTATTTGATGCTGTTATACTGTATTCGTGACAGACTTAAAATGGCACCTTCGTATTTATCATGCAGTACAGTACAATAGTTACTTACTGATTAGCTATAATATAATATTGCGATTTTTTGTATCATTTGAAATGATGCTAAAGCCTACTTTACCCTCTTATTATTAAAAATAACATCTTTTGCAGCTACCGTTAACGATGTGTTATGCTCAATGTTACGTGAATTATGCAACTGTAGAAATAATTTACTACTTTGCATTTCCTATATGAAATAAGTCGGTTGCTATTAGTTTGGCCTCGAAGCTTCTTGTTGATTGTTTGGTTTTACTCTATATCATACAGTTGATACTGCAAAGTAGCTGTGATCTTTATATTACATTTGTAGACAGCTCATGCAATACCGCTAACAGCTGTTATAGAATGCGCTAACGTTGTTATATTCTTCTCTCCAGAGCCTTCGTTATCGGTTTGAACGCATTGAAAGATCATTTTGTTGATGAGTCTTTAGTTACCGTAAGTCAAAATTTACTACATTTTCTAATGCACTATAATTTTACGGACATGCATTGTAACTTGCAATTCTATGATAATACTTTATTGTATTACCGTTTATGTAGATTGCTTACTAGGTGATAGTTGTGACAGGGTTAATCTGCAGAAGTGAATCTACCTCACTTTACCTCTATCTCAGTGATCGGCAATTTAATGGTCGAAATCGCTGTAGTTATTTTTTGGCAACGTTAAGCTCCGTATATTTCGATATCGAATAAAGTTTATATTCTATTGTAATTATGGGTTGAATGCAAAGTATAAAGCTAACTGGTAACATCCAATCCGTACTCTTATCTCTGAACAATTTTACTTTGAATATGGATACTGTTGTATTGTTATATCTAAATACGCTACCGTAATTGGCGTGAGATTCTAATTACAAATACTTATGATCAGTTATTATTGATTAATCGGTTTATCTATATTGCAACAATTTTGAACGTATCAAATGGTTCTTTCACTGCTTTTGTAATTCGAAGATTCAATATATTCTTAATATAAATTGAGCCTACTGGTTTTTGTTTACGTAGAATGCAATATCTAATTTCACTCAGATATTCACAGATTTGGAGAACTTTTATAAGGTAATGATATTTGATGACGCTGCACTACAGCTACAGACGGATATTGATCTCTATTTCATCTGCTATACTTTGAAATGTCTCATTTTTATAGAGGTTTATTGACGAATGCCAAGCGCTATCATCTACTTATATGCAAAATTATATCAAGGAGTAAGTAAAATTTTTTGTTACAGATTTACGTCAGTTTCTATGACGTAAAAAATTGTAATATTGATAGGTCTAAGATAGGATAACTAGTAGACATTAGGTTCATGAAGAACATCTAAGTATGATGACAAGGTTTCTTTAATATGAACATTTATCGATTGCTTTTGTAGTAACTTTACTTGCTACTATTTCTTGAGACAGTAAATTTTTTATTTATGGTCTGTGCAAACCACGTGTTGGTATCTAGATGCTTTATTGAGTATTATATATATATATATATATAATTAGAGATAACTTTGCAAATATGTAATATTTCATGACTGAGATTTAGCAATATCTTTCAGTTTCAACTCTGATATGCTGTCTCGCTTTATGCCAGTTTTGGGTAAATCTATCTTTATGCTCGTTATCTTATGAAACATGATTTAATTTATAGAGATATTAAGAGAGTTCGTGATTATAAAAAAAGTTTCGACAAGATAAGCGATGAGTTTGATACGTAAGTGAAGATCGTCATTTCGTAATGTTCATAAATTACTTTGAATTTGGTTACAGTTCTAGTATATATATATCACTTACGTGCTTTCGAATTTACAATGGATAAAATTTTTTGACGTTTAATTCTACTATTTATTTTGATTTTACAAAGGTGTCGTCATGACCTTTAATAATGCTAACATTTTTGACTACTTTCTTTCTCATATAGTGCAATTAATCGTAACGCTTCTGCTCAGAAGATAAAAACCATAGAAGTTGAAGAAGTAATACTTTTTATACTACCTATTAATATTTCCTATAACTTTTTGTGAAATACGTACTATTTCAGTTTGTTAAAGGGAATAATTTGAATTATTACTTACTCTAGGCAGAACAAAACTTTAAGTCTACGAGGTCTTGGTTTAGCCACATTGCCTTCGAGTATTGCTACAATGTAAGCAGCAGGTTTCATAAAAATTGATGATTAAAATTTGCTACAAATTCTTACATCTTATTACAATATAAGTATTCCTTCAATTCTTTTATCATTTCACATCACGGTTTATTATTATTGAGTATCCTAGTTAGTGATCAGTATTTCTACGAATATCAATCTGTATACTATTACAGTAATTCGTATGCTTTATATGTTGTAGCTGAATATTTTTCAAGCTAAAAAACGCCTTGACGTTCTCAATTCGGTATATATCCTAGCCATTAGCTCAAACAATATTTTTAGCTAACCCTAACATAGATTGCTTAAAACAGAGTTATGTTATACTTGATTGCAGCTGATGTCTCTATTCAAAAGCTATCGTAAGCTTGTCGATGAAAGCTCTCTATTACTTCAACAATTTTCACCTTTCACGGACGACCTAACAACGCAGGTTGATTCTTCGAACAGGAGCAAACTATTAGAATTCAGTTATTAGAAGGTACGACGTAATAATCTTTATGTTTTTATACCATCAGATCGAGAGAGAAAAGGAAAATTTTATTCAAGATAAAAAAGAAATGGAGAAATATTATATGGCCATAAAAGAGAAAGTACGATTTGATAATACACAAGTCAATTTTTAAACTAAGCTGCTTTATTATGCAAGAAGTCATATAATTATTTTTTTACATTGTTTAATATGTTTATGATTTAGAAATGTGACACTACGGATGAGCCTACAAAAAACGTTGGGTAAGTTAGGCTTCACTACATTTTAGCTCAATTACATGTTTTAATGTCGCTATTGAATCTTAATATTTGATAAAAGTAACATGGAAGGATATTTATTTAAACGAAGTCGCAATGCTTTCAAGTCCTGGAGCAGGTATTTTACTTACTACCAATGCGATTTAAATTTGATTAATACTACTTAAGAGATCTAAATGATTAATGTTGTAATCATTCTAGGCGATATTTTACGCTTCGGAACAATCAGTTGTGGCATCAGAAAAGATCACAGGTAATCATTTACTTTTAATTTTATGAATATCAATTATTTTTTGACGATAATTGATTTGATATAGCGGATAAGTATAAAATATAATATTGTAATGGACAATTTAAGTGATAGAAACGTTTTTACTACAGACGGATCAAACAGTCGTTATAGATGATCTCCGTTTATGCCATGTTAAAGAAGCTGATGATGCAGATCGCAGAAATTGCTTTGAAATTGTGCACCCTACAAAGTGAATATGCGTAGTGTTTGCTTTAGAACTGTGGTACCGTAATGAAATGAGCTAAAATTTTATCCCTTTGTTTATTAATTTGTTAGTCGAATGCTCTATTATTATTATTATTAGTTATCTTAATTTAAGTAGCTACGGTGCAGTAATGACCCATAACTTTCATTGTTTATTATATTATTGGCTTTATAGTTATTTGATTGGACTCTGTTCTATAGGGGTTGTATTCTCCAAGCTGATGATGCAAGCACCAGAGATATGTGGATTAGAATGATACAGGTTGTATGGACATTAATCAAAAAATTTAGTAACACACATTGTTTCTAATCAATGCTAACGTCAACGTTTTAATACCTAGGATAGCATAGCGGCTGCATTTCGAGAAGGAGAAACTAGTGGTGATAGTTTAGATCCTGTTATCGATAGCGAAACGGTAAATAATTAAACATTTCTGATTCTTTAAAGGACTTATTCCAACGAGTGATCTTTACAAATCTATTGGTTTATATAGTCTCCGTCTATTGCTACTGTTAGCTTGAATGATACTTCAAAAGGTCATGAAAAGAAAGCGGAGTAAGATTTCTTTAATATTAAATTTCTAATACGTGCTTTTTTAGATCTTAGGATGTAAATTTTTTGATTCTCTTCTTGCTTTAGACTTAGGGTGGTTGACGAACTGCAGCAAGTTCCTGGCAATAATAAATGTGCTGATTGCGGAAAATCTGGTAAAAATTTATATTAATCGTAAATATGAAGATGAAATCCCTTAGGTCGTACTACATTGTTACCTGCGTGCTTCTCTATCTTGATTTTAATTATAGATCCAACATGGGCTAGCATAAACTTAGGTATCCTTCTGTGTATCGAATGTTCTGGGATTCATAGGTATAGAATTAGTGCAACCTTATTAAGATCTAAATTTGATATAAACTTTTGTAACTAGTTCAGCTGTTGCGTAGTTCATATTCGATGTAAGCAAATTACAAAAACTTTCCGCAATAGGAGTTTAGGCGTACACGTATCTAAGGTTAGGTCCGTGACTCTAGATGATTGGGATCCGGAGTATATCAAGGTACAGCATTCTAAATTCTTTCGGTTATACTATTGCATAGCATATCTTAACTATGCAACTGCACATTTCAGGTAATGAAACGCCTGGGTAATGATGTCGTCAACCTTATTTATGAAAATGAACCAGATGATTCCTTAACCAAGCCTAATTCGGTTTCTGAAAGGTACAAACTTCTATATATGCGTCAGGATGAATTTGCGCTGCTTGTTTTCGTTATTTGATAATTTGTTGTATCTAAACAGTGATCGATGTGCTTATTACTGGATATGTAATAAAATAACTTTTGACTTTTATCTATAAAATAATGATGAGTTTTAGTTCGTTATTGTAAGGTTCCTTTATTTAGGGGCGATTTTTATTCCTGCTTCTGATTATTCTTTCATATCAAAAATTACTTTAAAAAATTTTAGATCTGTTAGAGAAAAGTGGATACGCGCTAAATACGTCGAACTAAGTTTTCTAGGAAATAAGAAAAACAATCCAGTTTCAGATATTGTCAAGAAATTACAAAATTATACACTGAAACATCGTAAAAGATCACCCCCCCCAAAAAATAAGAGAAGAAGTAGTGTGCTAAATAGTCCTGGTATGTTGCAATTAACTAGTATCGTTAAATATAGAATAGCTGACGTTTCCAATTTTTAGACAATCCAATCGCTGGCGGTTTGGACGCCGTTCCCGTAAACGTGTATGACAGTAGTGACGATGATGATATTGATGAGGAGGTTACGTCTTTGACCCCAGATAAAGTAATCAACAATGAAGTTAATTTAATCACTTACACTGGATATTCATTATAAGTATATTAACAGATATTACTATGCGTTTTTGTCAAATTTTAGCTACTATGTAAAGCTGCAAGTTTGGCCAGATTACCGTTAATGATGCTTGGCCTAGCACTGGGTAATCCAGTCTTCTTTGAAATCATGTTGTTTCGATTGCTAAATAAGAAAATTACTCAGAATATTAAATTCTATAGCTTAGTAATAATCAGAAAGTCAGTTTTAATCTTTATTGAGTTATTGAATACTTTTTGATCGGCTACAATTTCAATTTTTGAATTGTCTTTAATATAGCGTAAAATGCAATTACTAAGGCGTTTATCTTAAATTTAAAAGGTGCAAAAACCGATTGGAGAGACCCCAATAATCATGGAGGCAACGCCATTCATGCCGCTACTAAATCTGTATGTCATATGCTAAAATATTGATATTGTTATCGTTTTTCCTCTTGAACTACTACTTCTCGAAAAGCATAGGAAGCTAAAGAATCATTGGACCGAATATAGCTTCAATATACTGCTAACTTTTACTTTATTGAAATTTTTTAGGGTTCACTCTCTGCCGTTCAGTATTTAATCTTAAATGGCTGTAATATTGATGTAAGGGATCAGCACGGACGTAGTCCATTGCATTACGCTGTTGAACAGGGGAACACTGGGTAAATATATGTACCATAGATATCAACAAATGTATTTTCACTCGGGATAGTATAATTACTCATAATTGCGTCTTTTATTGTGTTGAGTGCAAGTGAGGTCAACATGAGTCTTTTGCAAACTAAATATCGATGAAAGATTACAAACGTTAATATTTTGAAGTTATACGATTTAGCGAATTTTTTTAACTTACATTTTTAAAATACTGTACATGGACAAGTATTCACGAAAAAAGTATTCTGAATTATGGAGCATAAGTTTTATTTTATGATCACAATAACAAATTTTAATGATTAGTAATTATAGGTGAGAGATAACTGTCCAGCATGATATCGGATTTTTATCGATTGAAAAACTAACTCAGCCTAAATGTGTCATTTCCTGTATAGGCAAGTGTATATTCTTCTTAAAAGAGGGGCAAAGTATCGGGCCGTAGATGAAGCTGGACTGGTAGGAACGAAAACATATTGCTAACATTAATTAAATCAACTTTCCTACACCCATAAAATATTACAAATTATTTAATGCAAATTACTTTTCTTATGTAGGATGTATTGCAAATTGCATTAAATAAAACTTATGCTGATATAGTAACTTTGTACGTATATTGATATGTTTCATACGCATATGCTTAAAAACTATATTTGTTAACGGGAAATTGGTTAATATTTTTTTTTCTACTAAAGGCTTAGATTAGCAAGATTAAATGAGGAAATGAAAGAGAGCGAAGTAGGGACATATGTAGAAGGTATAACGTAGCTAAAAAGACATTTACTGTTTTAATGCGGTTATATTTTGGTATTTATGCAATTTTGAATGACTTTTTATGGGCTATAATGAACTAAATCATTCATAGGGTTAGCTTATATGCATATAGATTATTCTGATACTATTATGCTTCTTGCTAAGTGTCACTTGTTAAATGAAAGATTTAGAAATGCTTTGGCATACGCTGTAATTTTTGAAAATTTAAAAAATTTTTATAATTTGTTCGCGACTATAGCAGATTATACTTATAACGAAGTTTTTAAAGATTTTTCTCATATGGTGACTGCAGACCCTAAAAGACTGAAACACTCTTCGAGAAAGTAGTTACCAGAACTGTAATTAAGAGGAATTTGTTAGACTTGCGCAAGCGGCTTCGAGTGTTAAATCTAGTTGCTATAGTACTTAGGTTATAACGATAAAACTATTGCTTATCCATTCACTATTATTTATTTATAAACATGGATTCCAGATTCATATGAGGTATGTTTGATAATGGTGCTCCAGTTATCTCGATACCATAACTTAATGTAGTTGAAGCGAACATTTGAGCTAGATAACTTTAAAAATTGTATTCATATTTACCGTTGTCTTGGTACAATTTCTCATTTTGAGAATATAGGCTATATTTTTATATCTCTTAATGAATGTGTGAATTTTGTCTATATTATTGAGTAATTTAAATATAATCATTCGTTTAATACCTTATTTTTATGACGGTAAATCAAGACTGTCTATTTTAATTAGCAAAGCATTGATATGCATTGTTTTTCTGATTTCATGCATACTTTTTCGTACACATGCAAACTGTACTTTAATCATTTTAATTCCTAATGAATGATTGAGAACAGAAGTAGAAACTTTCCTAGATGACTTAAATATTAAATGGTTATGCTATAAATGTGATATTGTATTTTGACTAGTCTGTTTGAGGCTCGGACTTGGAAACTGACTTATATCCATTGTACATTTTTAATATTCTATTATGTAATGACTGGTGTACTTATATTTATCTAATTACGCTGCTTAAACAACGCGGATATTTTGTGGGCTGGAGTCAATTTATTACCGTGCTTATAATAATTTGTGATGAGCAGTATGCAATAAAAGTGGACTTGATTCCAGTTATGTGTGTACAGCGGTTGAATGCAAGTGTTGTATAGGATATAGAAATATTTCCCATAAGATAGCATTGCACTTCTTCATTATTTATTATTATAAGGTAAAATTCTATACATTTTGACGATATATATTCATAAAAACATCTTTAAAAATAGATAATAATCAATTATGATGTTGCTTTTATAGCATCGATTTGTAGGCGTTTAAACTTATTAGATGACAATCGGTTGATATGTATTGCTAAGTAAAAATAGATTTATGATTAATATTTTAAAAATAGTTCGAGTCATTTTCAATTGCATCTACCCTTATGCAGTAATAAAGCCAATAGAAAGCCATCACTGTATTTACTCTTTCATTTAAGCGGAATCTGGAATTAATGATTAAGTAATTATTTTTTACGTAGATTGACATGCTTGATTGAAGTAGATGAATAAAGTGCGGTAGTTAATTCAGTGTGGCCATTTGAAGTTGTTGTTAATATTTCAATCTAATGACGTCATCTGTTGTATTAATTCTGACTACTATACCTAATTATTGAAGGTGCGATTGAAGATGTGAATAAAAACGTTCTATCAAAGTCCTTGATTACTTATCTATCTGATGTTAAAGTTAGTCAGCGTTCATGGATCGATTTGTATCTACTACTTCATAAAAATTTGTACATTTAAATTTTAATGAGGAACATCAATGTGACATTGCTTTTAGCTTGATCAACGCAATTGGATAAAAAGAATGAATTCAATTAGTTTAAAAATTGCTTGTAGAATTTAATAACTAAATTCTCAATTGAATTGTTGATCGCGATTTCTTAGATATTGATTGCTATAAGCCGGAGTAATTGAAAACATGATAAATTCTTTTATTTTTATCACCTATACAGTAGAAGTAACCATAGTAATTAGAAATATGCGCAGTATCATCGTTTGAATTTGAAGTTATATAGTAATAGTAAAAGACTATCACTCGGTCATTACAACTAATAAAGAGGAACATGGCAATTTAGAAGTTAGACATAAATGCCATGATAAGCAATCGAGAGAAAATAAAATTAAGGCCTTTCTGTCCAATGTAAATAATATTTGTTTTACAATTCAAATGCAAGAAAATGAAGTATACCTTGATTATAGTAAGATGTAAAATAAGCAATTTGTAGCTGTAGAGTGTATTAAGAACTCTTAATATAATCTAAGTTGTTTAAAATTCGAAATTATAAACGTGAAATGGCATTTGATCGACTGCTGCTAGTTGCGTTAAACTATAGAGTTGGATATTGACAGTCTATGATCTCCTAACGGACGTCAAAGACGTTTTTGAGGATATAATCAATTTTTCTAATTAAATAAGGTGGTCAGGACTATAAACATTACGACTATTGTGATGCTCATTATTGCGAAAAAAAGATGATGGTTTTGAGTAGAACATGCCGTGACAGTCAATACTATATACTTTAAATGAAAAGGATTTGGAAGATATTTTAGATGGAGGATACCCCGGGTGCGTCATTTCTCAATACGTACATCGAAAGCTCTGCCTAGAACTGCAGCAAAGTTCGATTGGATTAATCTTGAATTAATTTAAATTTTTTTTATTGAGATGGAAAAAGCCGTCAATCAAAATAAGATTTCAACTAAATCGTGGTGTTTGCTAACCATAAATACTGACTATAATTACATAAGATAAAGAGAAATGAAATAAATTGTTTATACATTATATTAGTAAAAACATATCAACACCATTTGAGATATTTTCATTAAGGTTGTCATTTAAATTTTTTCCTTCTAAATATATATTCCTATATGATCGGATAAAACACCATTGTCATATAGAATATAAAAGATATTTTAGGCAATAATAACATGAAGGTATATAAACGCAATGGAGTTTTTCTAGCATATATCTTTAGATAATTTCGATAAACTATGTAGACTTGAATGTTCGAACTGCAATTTATATACATATAGAACCATGATTAATTAAAATAACAAATTAAAAATTTTTTAGACAGGATTTGATGTGAATGAATATAATATATTTGCAATAATAGCTGAATGAACTTATAATTTAGCCAATATTAATAGTTTATCGTGCTATAGTTGTAAATTAATATTTAACAATAGGAAAAAGAAAATTATCTAATATTATACTTTTACGAAGCAAAATTATTTAAATAGCTAATTGACGCGTACATTTATCATCTTGAATTTTATCAGTCGGTGATTCAATATTAGTCGATTAAAACGAGCAATATTTAAAGTGGTTGCAATCTCATACACTTTTATAATTAAAATAGTGCCTGAAAGAAAGAAAGGATATTTAAGACCCATATACTGAGAGTTCAGCTAAATTAAAATTATATTGAACTGGGTCATTTTAGATGGTTGTTAACAATATGCGATACAAAGCATTTACATATTTATTAGTTGTGTTGCTTAATCTATAAGTTTACAAATAAAAAAATATTTATGTCTTTCTGCTTCAATTTTTAACACAAAGCTTATTAATCATCACTTCCATTAAGTATTGAGTACCGTATGAAGTAGCGGAAAAAAGGAAAAAAGGAATGCCATAAATAATGATCCTAGTGGACTGAAAAGTAATGAGATATAGATTTATATGTTGCGATAGCTACTTTTCGGATTTTATTCACCCTATCAATCCGCTCTGTGTCAAGATTTTTGTATTTACTCGTTTATTGATGAGCAAAGACACACACATAAAAGTGAGAAGGAGAAATAATATCATATTGTACGTATACAATGACATTCCTACATCGCTTACTTGCGTGATTAATATTTCCAATTATAATAAGTCTGGTTAGTAATTTAATAATACAACCTAACGAACATATTTTTTAATTTTTTTCGCACGAAATAAAGCTGAATCCTTTTTGATCGAAATAGTAGTAATTGTATTAGCGATTGAAGCACTAGTTGCAAATTTTATTTAAGGCCTGACAATTATTTAATAATAGCACCTGGGCGACCAAATTTTTATTCATTCCACACATAGTAAATTTTAATCTTTTATGACCTAAATTATGGCAAAAGTCTTATCAATTGGAGTAGCAGTAGCAAGCCATAGCGTACAGAAGTTACCAATTCGTTCGGTTGAATATTTAACGCGGTGCTCTTATTTGCTCATTCCAATAACGACGTTAGTAAAATGATATCATAGACAAGATAGCCAATAATTTTTGCTCATCCATATTAATTGGATAGAGTTTTTTGAGTATAGAAATGTGTAGCTATACCGCTTCAACGACAGTTAAAGCTTAATTTTAACAAGGGTATGAATAGGTATAGCATGTCTACAAAGAGCCTCGATCTTGAAAGCTTTCTATAATCCCTTACCTATACAAGTTAGAGTCAATAGAATTCATAAAAATCGGGTTAGAAGGGTGGAACTCCTAGCAGTCCGTTAAGGTTAAGATAAAAATTAGCCTAAATGTGGATTATATCCATATGAATTTCTCCGATGTCCTACCATGGTCATAGAAGTTGAATAAATTATAAAAAATAAAAATATGAAATAAAGAGTAAGAGGGAAGAACTTTTAAAGCGTTGCGAGTAAAATTGAAGATAACCGTCGATTATTATTATTTTTCAACATCTTTAACTCGTAAACTTATGCCAAACATGGAAAATATTGAATCACGGCATCTACTTGAAATAGATGAAATTCATCGCGAGAGTAGTTAACTATAATTCTACATATGTTAATGATTGGAATTATTAAGTTTCCGTACAGTATTGGAAGTATGAAGATAACTTGCTTGCTCGCGATTATGAGCGTATTCATCAACTATGCTACATTTGGTCAAAATTGGCATAAATGACCGAATGAAAGCATTACGAAAACGTCGATGGAATGTACCATAAATAATTGGATTGGATGCTGAATTGACAAAAATTAGACCTGATGTGATTGTAATAGCAATTGGTGGTGGAACATAGTTAGCGTAAATTTGGACATAAGTTAATGAAATATAAGGTATCCAACAGGCTAAATAGACACCAACAATAATTAAGACAGTCTTGGCTGTTTTACGATTCATTTGGCGCATCGTTTCTCTTGTGACATCTTCAAAACCAGGTGTTAAGGTTACAATTTGCTGTGATTGCTTGATAGCCACTTTTAAGATGTAGATATGGGTAATGATAATTAAAAAGATAGCCAAAAATACTGTCGATGCGCATAGAAAATTAAAATAGGATACACTTTCGATAGCAAAACAAACTGCTTCGGCTTCAACATATTCATATTTAGCCCAACCTAGTAATGGAAATGTCGAGACGATAGCTGAATGGATCCACATGTAAGTGGATAACACTAAGGCTCGCTTTTTGGACATAATTTTAATATATTGCATTGGACGTGAAATAGCAATAAAACGGTCGATACTCAATAACATGACAGTTAATGCTGATGTGCTGCATAACATAACATTTAAAAAACCGCAAAATTTACACATTATATCACTAAATATCCAACGGCCTAAGATGGAGCTAGCAATGGTAATGGGCATTAAAATAACACCTAAAGTTAAATCGGTAACGGCTAAGTTGGCCATAAAGATACCGGTAGCATTTTGTAGCTGTTCTGAACGATTAACAACTACAATAACGATAAAATTGCCTACAATCATAAATAGGGTAATAATGGATAATATAGTGGCTTGTAAAATAAGATAAACCAGATCCATTTTGGGTACAGTCGTATTGCTATTGTTATTATCCATGTTGCTCTTTCCTATCAATTATTCTTTTTGAAGGAGTACCGATTAAATTTTAGCTTAAAGCAAAGGAGATGAGATTTGTACAGAATTTTAATAAAATTGATGCTAGTTTAGCCTTGATAAGCAGTTTAGTTGAGGGAAAAATACCGAAGTAAAATTGTATGACTTTGTTTGCTTTAATTTTCGGTGATAGAAAATTAAAGCAATTTTTGATCTATTTAATTTTGGTGGCCTGCTTTGTATCCTTGAAGGCGGAAAGATTGCCGTGGATGGAGGTATAACTGTTAGTACTCTCACCAGGAGCGTGAAGGATAGTAAATATTTTGAATTTGATTGTTTTAAAATGCTTTAAATTGGTTAAAAAAAGTTGAAAAGTGAAATCAAAATTTCCTGTTTACTATCTCCAATTTACGCTTATCTTAAATATGGATGTTTAAATTTATGAATCTTTTTATGGTATTCGGCTTCAAACGGCTGGCAAAATGATGGTATAAATTTTTTTTAACGGAGTGTTCAAGAAAATGGTTGGATGAAACTTGAAATATTAAAAATTTTTTAAGAACTGGCTAAACATATAAATATAAGTCTTGATAGTTTAATTTTTTCCAAATAGCACGATAATTTTAACGCTGTTCTCACTATTCAAGCTTGTAATTGGAGTTTTCAAAGGCTCGCAAATATCCACGATAGTTGGTTGAAAAATTGCAAGATAAAACGAGTTGGATTAGGTTGAAAATGCTAAAATTTAAATTGCTTACTTTGAATGGATTCAATTAGTGAAAAAATTAATTACGGTAAAGCTCTTAGTACGTTCCAAATGGATAGCGATAGCGTTAATGATGTAAAATTGTGGGATTTAATGCGATCATCATTTGAAATGATCCAATATGTTTCATTTAGTTTAATAGTTGATTGGCGAAGAAAATTGCCAATTGAATATGACAAAAGCGTTAACCGCAAGAGCCTAATAAAAATGCAATATAGAATAGAAAAAATCAATTCAATGTCCAATGGAAAGATCGATGACATCAACTATAGAATCAATGCTAACAGATTCTTTACCTAATAATAATTATTCTATCAAAAGATTGATTAGTTATCGTCATTAATTGTTATACAATATTGTGATTTATAATTTAGATAGGAGTGATTGTTATTTCTTGGTGACGGAAAGTCAAAGGCTTATTACAAGCTAAATCATGGGATACAAGCAAGGCAAGGAAAAGATTGCATCGCCATTAATAATTAATGATTGAATATCCGATCATTTCTATTGACTGGATAGACAAGATAATTTTCTCCGGATCTATTTATTTATGAATATGTAGCGTTATTGGAGTTATGTCTTAATACTATTGCAATTGTTTGCTTTTAATTAACAGTTCAATGTATTGAATTTGGTGGAAAATGATTAGAATAAAGGACAAGGCGGCAATTTCTTTCTCAATATTATGATGTTAATCAAGAGCAATATGGGTTTTATTCGTATAAAAAAGAATTTAGAATAAAGTGAAGATGGGAACTTAGTAGAAAAATGGACGATAAGAAAGATAATAATTAATACTTAGAATGTTGTTTCGACGATCGGTAGTAGCCATTTGGATAGACGTCATTGACGATAACTAAAATATCGACTAAAGCGAGAGCGAGAGCGAGAGAAACAATCGAATAGAGAAGACAGCGGATCTAGTTTGAAAATAAATGTTGGATACCATAGGCAAGTATTGCTAGGGGATAATTGATAGACGGCGACAAAAATGAAAGAGATTAAATTAAGTGGATGGTATTTATTAAGATTAATTTTAATAAAGTCAAGAGACGGAAATTAATTCACTAGCATACCATTCATTCCATGACTAGAACTTTTAATTGACTGTAGCCACTATTTAGGATGTAATTAGGGTTTAAAAATAGTTTATTTTGATCATCTTAAGCTATAAAGATGTCCTAATTCTATTTTCATAACATCGTCTTGGACTAGTGATGGTTAGCATCCAATTTAAAATTTTGATCATAATTGACAATTATTTTTAATACAATATTCCTGGAATGAATAGACTGATTTTAGGAGATAAGGAAAAAGGTAGATGTTAATGTTGTCAGGGAATTGGACATGGACTTACAATTTTGAACCATCGATTTTGAATTATCGATGTTTTATCCATTTCCTCTTGAATCAATAAATTGATTAATTTTATGGGAAAGAAACATGATAAAAATATATTGCAAAAAATTCTTGGAATAGAGCTTGATGATATCAAAAAATTCAACTTTGATTTATCCTTATGAATGTTTAGAGCTGCAAGTCAATGAATCGATCGATTAATTTTATAGAAAAAAGAAATAGGATAAAAAAAACAAATTGGAAAAAATTCTTGGAATAGAGTTTGATGATATCCAAAAAGGCTCAATATTGATTTATCCTTACCAATGTTTAGAACCGTAAGGCAATGAATCGATTGATTAATTTTATAAAAAAAAGAAATAGGATAAAAAATCCATTGCAAAAATTTCTTGGAATAGAGTTTGATGATATCCAGAGGTTTAACATTGATTTATCCTTACCAATGTTCGGAATTGTAGGGCAATGAATCAATAAAGTGGATGCGATTCGAGCGGGAAAAGTACATTACGTAATAAATTGAAAATACGTTTGATATTGTAAAGTGATTTTCTAGAAGAGAATTGAATGTTCTTAACAACTATTCTATGTTCTACACCTGTTCTTGATGGGCAAGATGGACAAGACAATAAATTTAAATCAGAAAAAAACTTGTTCCTCGATTTAGCTCGATTGTGTGCTAAGCTGTTGAAAAGGACTATTGTCCATTATTTGTTGTCATGGCAAGTGGGAGATAGAAGAATTACCTGAATATGATTACCAACCATAAGAGTTGGAGAATGATAGAAGAGATATTACTTGACAAAGAGCGCTAGACTAAAGTAATCATGGATACTTTTTTTTATTCTATTATTGAATTGTTCATTGTTGATGTGGAAAGTTACTCAAGTGTGAGAAGAATCCAACTTGGATTGCTTTTGTTAGTCAATTCCTTTTGATTTCTCTCATTCGGCTTATTTGCTCTGTCGTCGCCTGCTGTTAGAACTATTAATTTCTATTTGTTTTTTCCATCACACCACAATATGTTTGTTGATCACAACTTGTTGACGATTAGAATCATAGCTTGACCATAATTACCATGGAAAATAATCGATTCAAAATAAGGGTAAAAAAAAATCCTTTCTGCTAAGCTGAACAATCAGTGATTGGTGACTAAGATTGTAAAGGTCGAGGGACAAGTCTTTCAGTCAGATGCAGTAATGATACAGAGTAAACTACAGGAAGCAATCATAAAAATAAAACAATTTCAATCTTTGAACGAGTAAAGGTTAAGACTGCTTATTAAAGTTAGTTGTCGAGTGTTGAGCTCCAGCATCATTTAAGCAGTATCTATAACTCATGAGAATGGTTGTTTGCTAACATACTGAAGGAAAGCTAAGAGAAATCATTCCGTATGATGACTGCTATAGACGATATCATAATTTTCTTGAGATCAGCAAATGTTTTATCACACATTCATCTTATCTCATATTTCCTAGCTGCTAAGAAATCGATTACCTACAAGGGGAAGAAATTGGAATTCTTCTCCGACAGAGGGACGCAATGAACGTTGCTTTAAAATTCGATAATACGGTGTTGATTATTTGCGACATATTAGAGATTTACTCTATTTTAACAACCCAAACTTTAGCTTGTCTGAATAAATCTGCTGCATATTCTAATAATGTTAGAGTAAGAAGGATATCGAAAAAATTCTTAGTTAGGTTCAATCATGGGTGGGCGGTTTTTTAGGCTACACTTTTGCTATTTTATCTAGCATGGGGCATGTATAACGAGCACTTCACTGATCCCTAGCAAGGTAGAATTTACTTCGTATTCTAATCGTCTTGTCGGAGCTGCTAGCATATCAATTTTGATTGTATCAAGTTATGAGCTGATAGTTTTAGATTAAACTTTGTAATTTATCTAGCGTAGGATATCTTGAACTAGGACTTCAATGATCACGAGCACGGTAGAATCTGCTTCATATTCTAACAACATAATTGGAACTAATAGGATATCCAGAAGTTTTAATTACATGAAATCATGAGCTGGTAGTTTGTAAAGTAAGCTTTGCTATTTTCATCTAGCATAGGTACAGTTTACGTATCACTAACAGAGTAAAATCTGCTTCCTATTCTAATAATATTGTTGGAGCTGATATCAAAATATTTTAATTGTATCAAGTCGTGAGCTAGTTGCTTTTAGACTGAACTTTCATATTTAGCATGTGGTACCGTTGACTAGCATAATATTTATTACCATAAGGAGATTTCAATAATGCTCTTCATTATAGAATAAGAGAATTGTAATAACTTTCTATAAATTTCGTCTAAGCGTAGTAGCAATGGATTGCAACCATATATTTAAATGCATTATTGGTTGAATAAATGCGCTGCTAATTTCTTCGGGATACCATAACTAATAATTTATTACCATATTATAAAGGACAATCTGATATCGTAAGTGAATGAAGAAAAAGAGAACGAATAGTTCGGTATGTAGAGAGGATCGAAAATAGGATTCAAGTTGAGAAGTAGGAAAAATTCAACTTGATCTCAGAATTCGCTAAACTTATTTTTCATCTTGGAGCTGTATATACGCGTATCTACTTACGTACAAAAGGGTTATATCAGCATGAAAGATAAAATTGACGCTCACATATGTGGTGGACTCTGCAGTAATAGTTGTATGATTTTACACTTTCATACTTGATATGTCGGTTTTAGAGAAACTTGAAAGAAGAGTAACCATATCATGCAGGTATCATTCTCTAGCCTCAGAGAGAGGACTATGATTATCCCTATCTAATAATTAATAGATGCTTTGAACGAGCCAGGAAGAATAAATCCATTGC